GTATAAATAAGTATTTATATTTGTGTACAAGCTGTTTAGATTGTCAAAAAAGCCTGTCTTTTTAGGGTTATTAACAAAGTTCGTGCACTCAGACCAGTAATATTTGGGGTCACAAGTTTTTGCCATGGATATTTTGTGGGTCAGAAGATAAAAAGTTTGGGAACCACTGCCATAGACTACGTTTACTTCACAGCAAAACCTTCCAAATGCAAGTACCACACCTCAAATCAACTCCAGGCCTTTTATCTGCTTAATTGAGAATGACATAATGAAGGGATTGCCCACACCTGTCCATGAAATAGCCTTGGAGTCAACAATTACTTTTGGTCCCTTTAAAAACAGGGTGGCACATGTTAAGGAGCTGAAACCCCTAAAACCTTCATCCAGTTTTAATGTGGATACCCTCAAATGAAAGCTGAATGTCTGGACTTTATGTCCATGTATAACTATAACATGAATATGTTTCAGTAAACAAGTAAAAAGACTAAATTTGTGTCAATGTCCAAATATATATGGACCTAACTGTATCACCAACCAAAAACGAATTTGAAAAATGAAGGGTTAAAGACTCAAAAAAAGAATCATAAAAAACTGGCCAAGAATTAACCAATAAGCCTGATTAAAAATAGCAGACACTTGTTGTTCTGGGAATATATAACAATTTAGATAATTAGCAGGAGTGGATTCATTTATAATAAAATCCTCCAGATGTAACCAAGATTTTGTAAGACATATAATTCAGTAATCCAATTAACTAAGAGACTTAGATGAGTGATTTTATGTTTTAATAATTAACATTCAATGATTTTATTTTTCTGTTTTAGTACAGCAAGTTTTTTAAGACATATTTTTCTTGATCTTATTTTCTTATATAAACAGGAGATATTCAGATGAATAGATGAATGAAAGTAGTTATATTAGAAGACCTGGCACAGCAGAACCATAACGCTCTGGGCAGCAGTGTGTTTATCAGGCCAAACATGATTCTGTCTCACAATGAAGTCTTATGTTAATATTATATGTGTCCCAAACAAACGTACCATCATATTTCCATTAATGGTTCCTCTTACTAAGTCTAAATGGTGGGAGAGTGTGTGAAGTTTGACATGGTTTGTTCCAATAACCAACACTAACACTGAAAAGATACAGAAAACTATTTATTAATCCAAATATTTCAACAGTATCTCTTTGTGTAAAAACATGTTTTATGACATTCTGGTGTGAGTTGGGACAGTGTTTTGCTGTAAATACTTTCATTCTGAACAGATAAAGTCTATTGGTCCTTTCAGAACCACACGGTGGTCTTTGTGGAGTTTTAGCTTTGAGAGGCTTGCTGCATGATGACTGAACACAGACTCAATATCTGCAGGTATTCATCTGCTCCATCGGCCAGGCACTTCCCCACAACCTGAAACACACAAGCACAGGCAGGGAATTGTGGGAAATCTTTATCTAAAAGTACATTTTCATAGCAGGGAATTACGCTCTTTTAAATAACATTTCAGTATATTCAGGGTTTCCCCTACATGTAATTGATCATGGCGCACCGCCACGGCAAAAATCATATCTGCCACACTCAGAATAAAGATTTTTTTTAAAATAATAGGCCTATATTAGGCTAAAACCATGTAAAGCATATCATATATATTTATATCATATATTTGCGCTCTTATAATAACCATAATCAGACTTTGAAACCCTATTTAAACATCAAGGAAAACTTAAGATATACTTTATTTTGAAAAACCAACACCGCGAGTGCGCAGAGCGAGGCTGTAAGCTCTGTGTGTAGTCCTCACAAAGATAGCAAGGCATGTGTGTGTGTGATATGACACGCGATGAAAACTGTCTGATGCGACAACTTTGAGCTACATTTTTTTTCTTTCAATGAAGACTCGACAGGTGAAGCTACATCATGGTTACCTCATCAATAATCACTCTGATAAACAAGAATCACCAACACAGACCTGAGTGTGACCGGGAGTCAGCGGCTCTGTGCCTGTTAGCGCTGATCAGCAGCGCAGCTACGAGCTAATGTAGCTAATGTCCCTCAACTTTTAAAAAARTAACCAGAGTTKTTTGTGAACTCAAAACACCATAAATCCAGACAGAATGAGCTGCTGTTAACCTACAGGAGCATTAACCCTTTAGGGCCCAGATTTAAAATGTGGTAAATAAATTATTTTCTGTGATTGAAATGAAGTTTTTTTTGGATAGTTGCATTTTTTAACTGTTGTCTTTTATATCTACATGAGTTAAGAGTTCTTCTGAACTGTTACAAAGACAATTTGTAGAAACAGGACATGATTTGAGGATTTTTACTGATGATCTTTTCTTTTAAACATGTTACAGAAGTAATAAGAAGCAGATTTATTTTGAATAAACATAATAAATGTATTCATTCCTACAAAACTGTCAAATATATTTACAAAATGCACTAAACTGATTCAGATTAGCATAAAATAAATCATGTTTTATAATTAAATGTCTGTGTCAACACCCACCCCCACCATCCAAAAAAAAGAGAGAGAAAAAAAAAAGACAGCCCACCACCACCACGGTAAAAATAAAAATCCTAGGGGAAACCCTGGTATTATTATAAATTATAGTTAAAAATGAGTGAAAATAGACTTGATGCTATGACGATGATTTGAAATTGTTTTTTTGGTTTGATTTTTAAATGTTTTTCTTATCTTCCCTCCAGCTCTTCAGATCTCATAAAAGATGAAAAGCACACAGGCTGTAATGAAGATGTAACTGGTTTGAATGTGGATTAGAAATGACTTCATGGTATCGGGTCAGAACAGCAATTATATATTCAGGTGTGTTAAGGGTTAAACATTGAACTTGTCTTTAATTAGACGTCTCCATGAACAATGATGTTATCAGTGTGTGTGTGGTTACTTTCAAAGGGGGCACGTTGTTAATAACACTGCTTAATAAAGTCTGTATCACATCAACACTGCTCTGAACATGTGAAGGATTATGCAGTGTTGAGGAGCCTCTAGTGGCAGAAGAAGGAACTGCAAAAACACCAATTACTGAAGGACTGAGAACAAGACAGTCTTATGTACACAAAGCCCATTTCTACTGTACATCATCAACTTGATTTGGAGTAGTGTCAATTTTTCCTTTACTTTTTCAACTTATTAGAGTTTACAGCTTCTTAGTGCTGCATATAAAGCAGATCCTTCACAATACTTATGATTAGGGATGTCCCGATACCACTTTTTCACTTCCGATACGATACCGATATTACAACTTTGAGAAATGTCCGATACCGATATTGACCGATACCGATATTGACCCGTTACTATAACAGTGCAAGTCACACACTTTTACCTATTTTGTAGTGTAAAATCTTAGAAAAATCTTGATCAGATCAAACAGTGAAAAAGAGTAGGTATGAGAAAAACTGACCCATTTATTTTAAACCAATGGATCACATACATTTTAAACTGAAGAACATTATACAATTTAATAAATAAAATAAATTACAATACCCTGAAAAAATAACATAATAAAAACAAAATGTACTTTTACAGTGTAAAATAATTCAAAATCACTCCAGTTATTTTTTTTACCATCTGTCAGCCTTGTGCTGCTTTATGGTGGAAAAAATTGAAGGTGGGGACAAAACAAAACCCCACATTATTGTCTGTTCAAAGTTAAGAGTCCACAGCTCCAATTTTACTGACTGTAACTAAAACAACGTGATCATTGCACTTAATCTTCACTCAAACAAGTGTGTAAACAGATTAAACATCACTCTAATAACAAGAGCAAAAAATAAATAGTAAGAATTAGTTATTTAAATTGATAGCTACCTTTCTTAGTGCTAAATTTCCACTTTCTATAGTCTGAGCATCATGTGGAGATCAGCCTCTCTCTCCTGCAGGGAGCAGGTTTTATCACTGCTCTCGTCATGTCGCTCATATTCCAAAACAAAAGCTGCGCTCTCCTTTCTTCTGTCCATCAACACAGAGCTAATCCACGGATGTCAAAACAAGCGTGCTGTCCTCGCTTCTGCCCGCTTAGAATCACCGACCCGACCAGAGAGGAGGTTCCGAAACAGCGCGGCTGTGTGCGGTCACTGGACCGAGGCTGAACCGAGCCGAACCGCAAAGCTGCTGCCAGGGTGGAGAGTAGTTGTCGCTCCTGTTTAAAACGTTCACGGTTCTGTGTTTCCCCTCGGAAAACTTGTGCGTGACAACTTTACACTTAGCTGCAACTCTGTTTCTGATGAAAATAAAAAGTTCTGCTGCCGACATTCTTGCTAACTTGTTAGCGCTGCTGTTGTTATGATCACGTGAGCGCTACAAGCAGGATCCAAGCGCTGCTGGATAGAAACACTGGAGCGGAGTCAGTGAACTGCTGGAACGGACTGCTAATATCGGAGCGCTTATATCGGACATTTTTTATGCAGTCCGATAAAATCCGATACTCGTTTTTTGGCTGATATCGGACCGATATCCGATATTGATATCGGATCGGGACACCCCTACTTATGATTGTTGACTCATCATTAGCATCACTGGCCAAAGAGGAAGACTTGCTTCATAGTATAACAATAGTTTTCATCAACATATCGATGGCTTTAAGTGTTGCCAAAGAACAGATAAGTTGAAATAAGTTGGAGTCTTGTCATTATTGGTACATCAGTACTTTTGCGTGGAAAAGGTCAAACGCCACTTTTCTGGGAATACACACTCTTTGTACAAGAGCCCCCAGTGGTTCAAAATAACTGATGAGTGTGAAGAAAACAAAACTTTTATTCAAGTTGTACTACGGCAAACAAACAAAACAAAAATAAATAAATAAATAAAACAACTTACTGCCATTTTCTCAGCAATGGCTGACTTTTGTTTATCTCCGATGTCTTGTTTCAAGATGGCGTCGTGGAGCTGAGTCAGGATCTGTGTGGCTGCATAACCTTCATCCACCATGTTCTGTTAGAGAGACATAAAACAGGCAGCAGATTAACATCAGATAACCAGGAACCTGAGAATCACCTGTTCCAGTTTGTAAAAAAAGCACTTTGGAACAACGTACCCCGACGGCAACTTCTAGTTTCTCAAACGTTCCTTTCAAACAAATCTGGAGCAAGCTGTCGATCATTTTGGAAGGGACGACCTGTAAGAGAGCGAGAAGCGACTGAATAACAAAACAACTGCATTGTTTTTGTTTTTAAATGAAAAATATCCATGTGTTTCTCTCCTCTGTGCTGTGATACAAAGTGAAAAGTGTGCAACACTCACCCCTGCAATCTCAATGATGACCTGATCGGTGATCTCCTTGTCTGGGCTGAGGCGGGCAGCACTCTGCAGGAAGGTGATGGCTTTACGCAGGTCTCCCTCCGACAGCTGCACCAGTGTTGAGATACTCTGTGGGGGGAGAAACAAAAAGGTTTTTCTTTGTGCATGTGTGCAGTTAACTGAATGTGTGGAGCAACATGTATGGTTTTCAGTCTCACACTAAACATATGAGATCTAAAATAATTTGACTGAAATAATGGATCTAAATCAGCTAAATAAGGTCAAATTAGGGGTCGGGGGGTCTATATTTAGACTAATGAGAAGAACTTTGGTGTTAGTTTTATAAAACAACTCTGCGTTAAGACAACAGCTCTACCTCCTTTGTGTACTTGAGGTTCTCCTTTGCACAGATCTCCAGCAGGCGCTCTTCTTGGATCTGATCGGCCAAAGGCTTGAAGCGAAACTTAGAGCACCTGGACGTGAGCGGCTCGATAATCCTGGAAGGCAAAGAGAAGGGATTAACCGATCCGAAAGCGCAGCTGTGTATAGGGTGCTGTTTGTAAAGTTACAGTCAAAAATTACCACCAATATTTTTGTTTTATTTAGCCTTTTATAAGAAAAAAAGAAAAAAGAACAGATTTATTTTTCAAAGTCAGTTTCTCATCACATGATTCATACATTTATAAATGTCATAGTTTATAAAC